GATCAGAATAATTAATGTATAATTGAATTAATTCACATGTTCACGTAATTTATGGTACAGCGATTCGGTCAAGTGTTTCATTCACTGGGTTGAAAGTTACATGTGTTGCGAGGACTGCTCGAGGTAATTGGAGAGCAGTTCCAGTGAGCAATGGCTCTATTGTGTATGCACAAAACTTGAGAAAGATACGTGATTGCAACGTTTCCGGAAAATCAAGACTACTTATAAACGCTCTATCACTATTACAGAATTAAGACGTTAAACAGCTGCAATGAAGTCAGATAATCAATTATATGATTATGGAATTCGTAAGAGTCCAAACCAGAAATTTTATATTACGATCTTATCATTTTTAATGAACATTCTACAGAAACCTTGGAAGAGAAGATCTAATTAAGACGTTTAACTATTGCATGGAAATTAGATAAGGACTTTCACGATTATAGAATCCGAATTGAATTCGGAGTAAATATTTTTGTCGGATGAGCAACGAATCTCAATGAGCCGACGAGAGACTTTGAGACGACCACGAAGGATAGGAATGATAAAATTCGATTCCATATTGAAAAATTGTTCACGAATTCGAGCCGACTGCCACCATGTTTCACACGCAGCCATGTTCCACATATCATTACCCTACTCCGGGATCTCCTCTCGTAACGTTTCGAAAATAATCCAACAGGTTCAGTATCGGCCACACTGTTCGTTCATTTCTCTGATGATTTAATGGATTGATCCGACGTGAAATTTTTGACACTAAAATTCGTTTACTCACCGGCGAGGACGACGGCTGCCAGGAACAGCAGCACCAGCGAGGACCTCATCCTCAGACGGGAGCTCCCTGGTCCCAGATGAAAGTGGGAAAGTCTTGATTTATTCCGCTCTGCCCCTTTGGTTCACTCCAATTAAACCGGCGAAAATTTCCTTTTACAAAAGGAACAGAAGAACCGGAAGCACGTCGAAATCTGTGCCGGTACCACTTCCGGTTAAAGATCAGCGCTTGGGGCTCTTGCTTAAAACGTTTCTCGAGGACTCAGTTTTCGGCTTCAAGGACGCGGACCTTGAAGGTGTAGGTACCGCTCGCGGAATGACTGACGCCCGCCACTTCGTCGCGGCCTTATATTTCCACCACCACGTTTGGGCCCCCTCTTTACCTGGCCAGGCTCTCGACGATGCGACACGATCACCGCTCCGACAACTGTTTTGCCTGAGCTCCTGGCTCCCAGGATGCAATGGCGTAAGAGTTCGCGGTATCCAATTCGTCGAATGCGTCTCCTGTGCAGATTTTCATTGCTAGAAGACACCTCATATCAAGATTTCCTCTTCAAAAGAATTTTTACAAAATTTTATTCAAATGTCTGAGCCTGTTATTCATAAAATATTTCAACCCCCAGACTTTACTCAGTTTTATATAAAATATAAAGATTGAATACTATAAGAAATGTACACATCATGTACTTAAAGAGTAATGCCAATTATGTTACAAAAATCCTCAGTCTATTATTACTAAATGCATTAACGATATTAATAATTATGATAAACATGATTCATATTAAAGAGGTAAGTTGGTTACCAAAGAATTGTCTACGACCAAGAGACTTTCTTTCAAATTTTACGAGTCGAAAGTCCCGAATCGACGCCCAAGTTGGATCGATTCGAATTTATAGCATGCGATTCCCACCCGCAAGGATTTTGTTCCCCCAGTTTCATCGCTTTATCCAAAGGATTCGGACGGATTTGTTTGAATTGTAAAGTGGTTTTCTTTGATAGTAACAGTTACTATTATGTATCTAATAAAACATGTTAAATCGAGTTATAATGAAGTCTCTTATGAAAATACGATTTACTTTAGTTATCTACCTGTCTTGAAAATCAGTGCGTCATTGTTTCATTACAAATGAAAACATCTAAGAGAATTACGTGTGTATGCAAATGCCAACCGATCTCGAAGCCTTTGACCGGCAAATCGGTGGCTCGATGAGGAATGATCGTGTATTTAAATGGAATGTACCCTTTCGCTGAACGAATTAATAAAACGTATACGTTTTACCATCTTTAATTTAGTTCCTGGCAATCAGTAAAATGTTAATGTTTCAATAAATCAATTTCTCCTTAGATTGCAAAATAATCTTAACAAAATTCATCTTATCAAGCTAATTAAATCTATAATATTAAGAATATGATTACACTTCGTAACTGTTTAAATTAAATT